CCCTAAGGTCTTGCTTTATGGTGAAGTTGCCACCGGCTGCCGCAAAAGAGGAGCCCCAAATAGACGATACAAGTGCTCCCTGAAACAACATCTCAGCCTTGGCCATATTGATCATCATAACTGGTCTGCTCTGGCCTCCAACCGGGAGGTCTGGAGACACACCATCTATAACGCTGCTGTCTTCTTTGAGAACGCAGCAGGATCACTCTTGAGGAGAAAAGACAACGCAGAAAGAATCGTGTCTTGCAGAATATACCACCTAAGGAGTCTTTCTGCTGTGCCTTTTGCAATCGGATATTTCTCTCTCTTATTGGCCTCATTAGCCACCAGTGTGCTTGTAACAAATGTGGATAGAGCCTTCCTAAATCTTCATTCGCGAAGCCTAGCCATGATGATGATGATGATGACATATCTGTACACAGTTATGGGGGAAAAAAAAATGCCAAGAAGAACATTTTAATATTTGCCTTTTATATCACAGCAGAAAGCTCCTGATTAATTTTTAATACTTCTGAAGAAGTTATAACATTGTTTTTAAGGCTCAATATTTACTAAGTTTTCTGCTAAATCCCAGATTGTTTTACTGATTAATACTTTAAAAAAATATCCTTTTTCTCACCTGGTTGAAATAACCATGTAAGAGACAAGCATTCAGATAGGAAGCTGTTTGCACAAGCTTGAAAAACCTCACAAAGTTGTTGCTGTTTAATGCAGCAAAAGCTTGAACTGCAAATCTAACTTCAGGAGAGTTTCTAACCTCTGGATGAAACTGCTGAACTTCTCTGTGGAGACAAAAGACAGAGACAAACCTTTTGCTTCAATATTAACTATCACAATCCAACAGCAACCTGTGACAACACAGAATTAAAAACAGGAGCATTACAATTTATCTGGACTTAATCCTAAACTCAATTCTTCCCAGAGGCAAAGAGAGAAAACAAGTGGTGTCTTGTTCCCACCTGAGAATATCCCCCTTGTTGAGATTCAGCAAGACATTATAACCTCGGAACTCTGCTTCACTCTTGCAGTAAATTCCCTTGTTAGCCAGGTCCTGATACATCTCCTTCAAGCTCTGCAGGCATTTAGTCATGTTCTCATTGTTGATTTTGGCATCAAAGGAAGACATGGGCTCTTCACACAAGTGGTGAGCACAATGGATGTGAAAGCGAGTGCACTTCTCAATCAGAGACACCATCAGCGGGTTGCAGAGATGTTGCTGGGTTATATCCTAACCAGAATGATAAAGAATTACATGTACCTTTAAGCAAGTTGAAGACCAGTCACCTTTGGAAAACCCATTTCACTGTGCTTTGAGTCACCCTGCAATTCAAAATGTTTTTTTCACTTTTTTACAGCATGATGTGATCTTTTACTTTCTATCACCAAACGCCTCTGTTGCCCGTAAACAAAGACACAAACCAACAGAGTGCCGGTTTATGCGGTGCTTTATTCAGGGCCCGGGAACCTGAGGACTAGCGTCCAAAGTCAGGATTCCAAAGACCCTCATTCTCAGTTTAGCTTTTATATACAAACAAGTTTACATGCAGTTTCCACGGCAAAACAGTTACAGTTTCCACAGCAAACCAGGTACAGTTACAAACAAGCTCATACTTCCTACTGATAACAATTAATAATCGTCTACTCTATTCATAAATCTGTTTAGGTTGTCTTGCTCCTAGAAACTGTTTAACAGACCCTTACCACATCCAAGGTAACAAATCATTATGTACATGCTTGACTAAATCCTTTGATTATTGTTTCTACTTCTTCAGCACAACACTCGATGTTCACAAACAAGGTTGCTAACTTACTACTGTAGAGTGTTGCTTTCTAGGCCTACTCTCTTATGAAGCCTTAGCCATTCTACTACTAAATTTAAATTGCTCTGCAACACCTCCATCCACAGTGCTTACCTTTCTTATTCCACGAGTTCTGTTCCAGACAAAGTCATACCACTCTCGGTAGTTTCCTTCTCCTTGATCCATAATGTTTGTCACTAAATAGTCCATGGTCATACTCAACACCTCAGAGGGTCTCAATTCATGGGGCAAAGGTTCCTCCTGATCTGCCGAAGACCTGCTATATTCCTTGATTGCTGCCGCATGATCTACCTGCAAGATGTGGAGAAAACAATCAAAATCCAAGACATATGGACAACTTTGCAGGAGTAAAGAGGATTTCATCCCATCTATGCCATCACTTCAGTAAGGAGCAGATTTTTAAAGTCTTGACTTAGTCTCAAACTCATAACCTTCAAGACAACATATATAACTGTTACATATAATTACGTAAAATACGTAATTATAGTTTTAGGACTATAGTTCTAAAAACTTGTCTAGCTAAATAAAAGACAACTTAGAGTGAAAAAGCAATTCTCTAGCCTTCTTGTTTTCCAATGGAGAACTGAAAGGCATTAACGAAACAGCCTACAGAATTTTTCCACCCAAATTAACCCTGTAAACAACTAAACAACACCGATGGCTTTAATGAGCAGCAGAAAAACTGATATCCTGGGAATCTCGTACCTTGTCAGATCCTAGAAGCAATTCAAAGATGCTGAGCTGGTTTCTTGTCTCCCTCATGTAACGCTCCTTTTCAGGACACATGTCTGGGCAAGTGCCAACAACAGTTTTTGCTTTGTCAAGATCAGTCCTTTTTATTCGAGCTAAAAAAAAAATAAATAATTGAACAAACACTAAGCATCCCTTGGGTTTGTTGTTTTTTTTTTTTTTTTTTGTGACAAGCTATTACTTGGATGTGCCAAAAGAGCCCTGAGCACACAAGGCTATACCCACACGATGTAGTCAGAAATGCACAAGGATGGGGTTCCCCCCACTCTGGGGCCTGTCCCAGGGTTGCACATTGAAGAGTTTTGCTGAAAAGACTGAAGCTTCTAAAAGATACCCAACGTTCTGTGTCCTAAGTAAGCATCAGCAATTTCAACATTCCACATCAAGTGGAAATTTGTTTGTAGGTATTAAAAATGAGACCTTAAATTAAAAGTAAGGTCAGTTTTGGACCTGCAAGAAAGGACAGAAGGGTTTACAACCGGCACTGTGAAACAAAGGGCCATTTCTTGAAATAATTACCAGCTGTGTAATAGTTCAAATTTAGAGAAACACTAGAGGCCCTGGCACAGGTTGCCCAGAGAAGCTGCAGCTGCCCCACCCCTGGAAGTGTCCAAGGTCAGGTTGGATGGGGCTGGGAGAAAACTGGGCTAGTGGAAGGTGTCTCTGCCCATGGCAGGGAAGTGGGACTGGATGAGCTTTAAGGTCCCTTCCAATCCAAACCATTCTGTGGTTCTATGAAATGCAGTTTGAGTCACTTTTAAAGAGCCTGCAGAGATGGAAATCTCCCTGTGTGCTCTCCTTCACAGAAGATGAACTGTCCGCCCTTCCCTTTACACAAGAAATTGCAATGTGCAATAAGTAAAACAGATTTTCGTGTGTTCTACAAGAGAAAAAGTGATACACCAGGTATTTTACAGAATGCTCCATGTTAAACTCCCATTTCCATAGTATCACAACAGCTTTGCCACAAACCCCAAACCCTTACTTTTTTCCAGCAGAGCAGCAGATGTTACACTCATCAACTTGTGTAATTACCTTGCCGCATGATTTTGTCCCTTTGGTCCAAAAGCCGGTATCTTTCTTCAGATGTCTCTGCCATTAATCCCACCAGGTTACCAAGGGATGACAGTGAGGTTCCCAAGCCCTCTGAGCTCTGCCCTTCAGAACTAGGATCAAACAGATCTGCTTCAAACTGCAGCGCCTTTCGAAGACCAGGCTTCTTTGCTGGAGAACTAAAAAGAGAAGGGGTTTTTTTAGCAACAATAATACACCAGTGCATGCCCTGTCTTAATCAGTGCACTGTTCTTCAGGATGTCAGCATTTGTTTAGAAGAGTATTTTGTCCACAAGGCAACATATCTCAGGAAGGGCACTGAGGTGCTGGAGCAGGTCCAGAGGAGGGCAATGAGGCTGGTGAAGGGACTCAAGCACAAGTCCTATGAGGAGAGGCTGAGGAAGCTGGGGTTGTTCAGCCTGGAGAAGAGGAGGCTCAGGGGAGACCTCCTCACTCTCTGCAACTCCCTGAAAGGAGGTGGTAGCCAGGTGGGGGTTGGTCTCTTTTCCCAGGCAACTATCAGCAAGACAAGAGGGCTCGGTCTCAAGTTGTGCCAGGGGAAGTTTAGGTTAGATATTAGAAAGAATTTCTTTACAGAGAGGGTGGTCAGACATTGGAATGGGCTGCCCAGGGAAGTGGTGGATTCTCTGTCCCTGGAGGTTTTTAAGACAAGACTGGATGTGCACTTAGTGCCATGGCCTAGTGACCGCAGCGGTAGTGGATCAAGGGTTGGACTTGATGATCTCGAAGGTCCCTTCCAACCCAGCTGATTCTATGATATCAAATAAATGAAGTACATTTGGATGTGCTAAGGTTGTTCTGAGCTAACACCAGCACTGGGAGTTAATTTGGTTAAATCCTCAGCACTGCCCTGACAATGCTACCAAGCGTTTCTGGACTGTGGGGAAAGCCTCAACCTTTGTACAACAGAAAAGGTATTACTGAAAGTGTCTTAGAGAAGACAGAAACAGATGGTTCTTGCAGCATTTCCTGATCACTGTGGTACAGCAGTTTGTATTTTAAACTAGGAATTGACCTGCTGGCATGGGGGAAAAAAACAAACAAACAAAACCAACAAATGCTTTCCATAGCAAGAGAGATTATTAAAACATTTTACAGGACAAACATTCCTTTTAACTTAAGGAACTTTGATTCCTTCACAACACATTACTGATTTTAGAATTATATGACTACACGTATCAAAATTACTTCTGTCAGACTAGACACACCATTGAGTATGACAGAAAGACAACAACCTTGCCACTTCTGTGACTGCCACAAAACAGGAGGATTCCTGTGCAGACTACTGATTCCAAGTGAGACAAGACAATGATCCAAACTGCTCTGAAAAGGGGACTCTGATTCTACAGAACTCTGACTGCCTACAAAGGAAACTGCTCGCTTCGGGAGCTTGTTGAATCATGACCAGTGACAGTGTCACTACTGCTTGGTCCCAGTTTGGCTCTGCGTTGTTTCATTCAATTCCCTCATGTCTCACTACTGCAGGTCCTGTTATGTTGTTATGGACAAAATATTCAAAAGAAAATACAGAGACCAAAGTGAAAGACCTTAATACTCAGCTAGGAGCATCCTTCTGACCAAGTGTGAGAGCTGTGTGCTTGTAATGCAGACAAACCAGAAGAGAAGGGAAGCAACACTCCCTGACGAGAACATGACTGTTTGGCACACACTGATCATAGGTTTTCTCTGTGTGCCCTGTTTCCTGCCAGGTGGATTCCCAGAGAAGCAGACATACCTTCTCCCAGGCATGACACTGCTGGCAGAGGATCTTATTAAAGGTTTTCGAAGCGGGGAATGCTGATAGCTTTGCTCTTCACTGCCTTGTCTTCCTTCATCTTCCCCTGCTTTCTTATCCTTGGATGAAAATTCTCTTTTTGCTGGACCTGAAATGACACATAAACATGAAACCTGCCAAGCAATTTAAGCAACACCTCTTTTTGGCCCCTTGGGGGTGGGGTGGTGAGCAGTTTGTTTAAACAAAAATACTATTGGAGAATAAAACTTAAGAGTCAGAGTCATGCATACAGAACTTCCAGGACAACTTGCACTAGGAGCTGCACCAAGTTAAGTTTCTATCAATTACTATCAGAGTCACTGTTCTATGAAGAGTATTTTTCAATAAAATACCACTTATCAATAACGCAAATTGTCAGCAGATTGTCAGTAAATGAAGTCTGATCATCATCCAAATTCTCTCAGGTTTGGGATATAATCCACAGGTCAGAACTCCCTACAGGATACAAAATCCATTTCACCTGTGTAAATCACAATTCCCCATGCTCCTCCTGAAGCATTTTAAGTACTTAGGTACTCAAGCTCAGACTAAGGTCAGCACAAGTTACACTCACACTTGCAGGAAGGGAAAATTTCTTCTCCCAGGAACAATTTTTAAAGCGGTTGGATTTCTTAAATCCTCTCAGAATAGTTATTTTAGAATGCTGCCAGAGATGTAACACCACAATAAAATGACAAGGGCAAAGAGGCAGCCCTAGAGCTGCTGCTTCAAAATGTTAATTCTCAGGAAGACAATTCTGCAGCTGTTTTCTGGAAGGCAAGTCTGTGGCTGGTCAAAGCTGAAGTGAACCCTTCATATGCTGCAGGTGAAGTGCATCCCCAGGCTGGGATCAGGTACACATGCTGCATTCATAAAGCTAAAGAAAGGGAAGCACTTGACAATTCCAGTGTTTGCCTGGGGATTAACAACCTCCTCCTAATCCCAAACAGGGTCTGCAATCAAGGTTTCCCAATTCTAAATTCTGTAGATTGTTCTCTCTTGTGGTTCAAACGGAGTCTAACTGTTGATACACATAACAGCAACCTCAGCAAAACAGACACTCAGCTCCAGGGTACTCCTTAACTTGGTTCTCAGTCCATGGTCTGAGGCAGGCAGCAAAGCATTTCAAACTGGGTCTTCTTACACCCCCAAAGAACTCCTACTTCTAGGAAGAAGCACAAAGTCAACAACACCATATTCCTGCTGTGCAGCTGCATAAAGAATTTCTAAACTCTCTTCTAAAACTACAGTCATTTCAGGTGCCTTCAGCTCTTCTGTATGGCTGAACAGCATTTTGCTTCAGATCAAGCAACAGGTTTTAGACAACGTGAATTTAAGAGAGAAATAGTGCAATTTTCAACCATGATATCTCCTACTAGAGACAATTTTGATATCATTCTCACTACATCAGGAAGAAAGAAGAGCAGCTAGAATGCTATTTACCCATCACCCAGTAATCTGGAAACACAGACTTACTAGTCTTCTTCTTTTGCCAAAATGTTACTATGTCTTTGTGTAACTCTTTTGCTTTTTTCCTGGCAAGAGCTGCAGAGGCCTGAAAGAAAACAAAAGCAGAGCATGAAAACCTATTGATATCACAACAACAAAACTCACAGCACAGCAAGAGAAACATTGCCAGAGAAATGTTTACCAATTCCCACAAAATTCTGGTTGCTGCATTTTAGCCTCTCACTTAAGAACAATCAGCTGGACTAGTCCCCCCCCAAAAAAAATAGTGCTTTTCTAAGAGCTACAGCAAATTTAGGGCACTTGAAACCAAAGGTGTGTTTTTAAGCACAAAACAGAATCAGATCATGCAGTCTCTGAACTGGCTGCTTAACACACCTCAGTGCTGAGACCTGAAAGACCATCCAGTCCCACCCCCTACCAAGGGCAGGTACACCTTTCACTAGCTCAGGTTGCTCCAAGCCCCACCTAACCTGACCTTGAACACTTAGAGGACTGGGGCAGCCACAGCAACCTGTGCCAGGGCCTCACCACCCTCACAGGGAAAAATTTCTTCTTAACATCTAAGTAATATAAAAGTAACTCCTCTTTTACTTTAAACTGTTTGCCCTTGTCCTCTCCCTACCTGCTGTCCCCGTAAAAAGTCACTCTCTTTTCTGTAAGCCACCTTTAGGTACTGGAAGAGGTTCTAAGGTATCCCTGGAGACTTCTGCACGCTGAATGCTCCCAACTCTTGTGCCGTCCACTTCTGATACTCACGTGATCAAAAAAGTGAAGAATGGCCATTTTCTTATTACGCCTGGTCATGACGCGCCGGACTTTTACGAACTGGCCAAAGTGCTTCTCCAGCACAGTCCTGTCGTTGAGGTAATCAGGGATGTTCTTGCACTGGATGGCCGTCAGCTCGGCGGCAGGCAGGCCCCCCAGCCCCTCCGTGCTCTCGCCGCCGCGGGTCCGGCGGGCGGGGGCGGCGGGGGCCGCATCTGTGACGGGAAGGAACACGACGGCAGTCAGAAAGAGGGATGACAGCACTGAGAAAGCGGGGCTACCCCACCACCACCCCCGCTCACCTTCCCGGGGGAGCTCCCGGGCCTCGGCCGGCGGCGGCTCCTCCGCGGCTCCGCGCTCGGGCTCCGCGACGTCCCCGCGCTCGCGGTGCTCGCGGGCCTGGCTGCGCAGCATCTCCTCCAGCGTGCGGCCGAACAGGGCCCCGCCGCGGGGCCGGCTCAGCACCACCGGCCGCTTCTCCGGCGGCGCCGCCGCCCGCCCGCCCGCCGCCGCCCGTCGCGGGGAGCGCTCCCGCTCCTCCTTCCGCTTCAGCCCCTTGGCCGCCGGCTCCCCCAGCTCCTCCGGTAGCGCCCGCGGACCCCTGTCCTCCGGCCGGCCCAGCGCGGCAGCGGGCCGCAAGAACGAGAAGGGCTCCCGCGCCACCGCCGCCTCGGGGCCCGGCTCGGGCGCGAAGCCGAAGGGCGGCGAGAAGGCGAAGGCGGCGGGAGCGGCCGGGCCCTTCTCCGCCTCGCCGCCCGGCACCGGCTTGAAGGGGGTGGCGGCGGCGCTCTCGGGCGCCTTGAAGCGGAAGTCGGGCGCCGCGAAGGCCCCGCCGCCGCCACCCGGCGCCTCACCCGGGCCTGGGAAGCCGCCCAGGCTGGTGGGCGGCCTAAAGCTGAACTCCGCGTTCCCTGCCGGGGCCGGCGCCGGGCCCAGCGCGTAGGGTGGCCCAAAGGAAGCGGTGGGCCCGGGGGCGAAGGGGAGGCCGGCGGGGCCGCCGCCGCCGCCCTGGCCGAACACGGCGGATTGTCCGAAGCGCAGCGGCGGCGGGAAGGAGGGCGGGCCGCGGAACGGGCCCCTCGAGGACATGGTGGACGCAGCCGCCCCAGACCGCCGAAACAGCTGGGGGCGGGCGGGGCGGGCCGCGCATGCCTAGGACGGGACGCGAATAGGAGCGGTAGGCAGTTGACCGACAGTGCGGTTATATGGGCGGGGCTACGGTGGTGGGCGGAGCGATAGGCGGTGTCTCCAGGAGTGGGCGGGATCTCGATTGGTTCGCGGGCCGGTGGGCGGGGTCTCGGCGGGCCGGTGGGCGGGGCTCCGGTGCCGCCATGAGCGTGGTGCTGCGGAACGCTCAGCGCTCCGTGCCCGTGCGCCGGGCCCCGCTCCGCCGCGCCGTGTGCGCCCTGCGCGCCGCCCTGGGCGCCTCCCGCTTCGATGTGGGGCTCGTCTGCGCCGGCAACGCGCTGATGCAGCGTCTGAACGGCGCCTACCGACAGCGCCCGGAGCCCACCGACGTCCTGTCCTTCCCGTTCCACCAGGTGGCGGCGGGGGAGTTGCCGCGGCCGCGCTGCCGCGGCGAGTACAACCTGGGGGACATCTTCCTGGGCGTGGAGTACATCCACCAGCAGTGCCGCGACGCCGGGGAGGACTTTGAGGGCGTGCTGGTGGTGAGCGCCGGGCGGGCGGGCGGTCGGGCGCGGCCGGTCAGTCACACAGCGCGCTGTGCTCTCCCCCCGCGCAGGTGACGGCAGCCCACGGACTGTGCCACTTGCTCGGCTACCGGCACGACACGAAACCCGCGTGGGAGCAGGTGCGGAGCGCGCCGGGGGAGGGCGCGGGGGGCGTGCGCGGTCCGGGCTGGCGCGGAGCGAAGCCCCCGCTAACTAGGGGCTCTCCCGGCGGCGCTGACCGCGGCCGCTCCCGCAGATGTACCGGAAGGAAGCGCAGATCCTGGAGGAGCTGAACCGCCTTACTGGTTCCCGGCTGCGGCCCCTCACCGCCGGCCTCTTCTGAGGGACCGCCCCGGACGTGGCGTGCGGGGGATGGCGGCGCAGGGGCCCCGTGGCCGCCTCGCCTCGTCGCTGCCGCGGCTGCTGCTCGGCCTGGCCGCGCTCGCCGTGCCGCCGCCGCCCGCCGCCGCCCCCGAGCCGCCGCCCACCGCCCTCCGCGCCGGCCACGCCGCCTCCTCGCTGCCCGCCGCCGCCGCCGCCCCGCGCACCAGGTGAGCGCCGCCGGACGCCGCCGGGGAGAAGCGAAAAGCCTCCAATAAAGCCTTTTAAGTGCTGATTTAGTCCGCGTTCCTTGGTCCTCTTACCATTCTTCCTCAGGCAGAGGGTTCCCCACTATCAGGCTGTAACGTCGTTGTTGATCTCCTCTGTATTTTCTGGTTACTCCGACATGTCTTTAGTGGATCACAAATCTAAGATCCCCGATGTCCAATCTTCACCTCCCTCAGGCTTTTGTTTATTGAAGCTTATTGGAGCTAGTCCAGAGAAACTCAAAGCTTCAGTGTTTTAAAGAGCAAACTGTCAAGAGTCTGTGCAAAGAAACCTAGCCACCAGCTGCCATTAATTAAAATTTAGGAAAGTTATAGTATTTCTAACATGAGAAGTGGCAGCACCACTGGCCCCCACCGTGTCCAGCCCCAGGTCGATCCTGCCCACCAGCATCACATGCCCCTTGTGTCTCCCGAGGGGACATGGTGGGTCCCTTGTGCAGGTGACCCACTGTGTCTCTGAACCGTGATTTGGGAAAGGGCCTCCTTCACCTGCTAGTGCTTTTTTGGGTCATTTCTGGAAGATGTCATCAAGGGAACCCACCAACTCCCAGTTGCACCCTTTTCCCCTGCTCCTCTGGAACGTGTCCTCCTGCCTTTATGTTCATCTCGCACGAATTAGCCTGGGTAACACGCCAGTAGTTTCACTGTTCTCACCACACACACCACGTTGCTCTCAGGGTGAGCAGGATGTCTGAGGGGTTCTCTCCTTGGCCTGCCACATCCTGCCCCACTGCAGGAAAGGCTCGTGGCATGTGCCACCTTGATGATGCCCCGTGAGGAGAACACAGTGGCCCTCCCAGCCCCTGCAGCACACGCTGCTCTGCCTTCCCTTACTTCTTCTCCTTCCACCTTCTGAGCGCCACAAACTCACGAAAGAGGAACAGTTTCCATCCCAACAGAGTTTGCATCATGTGATCGGGGGGTAAATGTAAACCACGTAAAAGTTTCAAGCTCATCCCCAAAGTAATGGCATTCCTTTGTTTTCCCCAGATACCTTTTGTACGATGTAAATCCCCCTGAAGGGTTCAACCTTCGCAGAGACGTCTACGTTCGCATTGCTTCCCTTGTAAAGACCCTGCGGAAAAGTGAAAACTGGGTGTTAGTCCTGCCTCCTTGGGGGAGGCTTTATCACTGGCAGAGCCCTGATATCCTTCAGGTCCGGATCCCTTGGTCTGAGTTCTTTGATATCCCAAGCCTCAACAGGAACATCCCTGTCATTGAATATGAGCAGTTCCTTGCAGGTGGAGTATAGGATCATGCAGTTCTACAATTGACTAAATATTTCAGATGGTTTCTTCACAGGTTTGTCCTTATAGAGGGCTTTTAGCCTTATATGTGAAATAATAAAAAGGTTTGAGGGGGTGAGAGAATGGCTGGGAAGGAGTCTTACCGAGTTACAAAACCGCTAGGATGAAGTAATCCAATTATTTCGCAACTTCTTTGATGTCAACTTCCTACGGTCCCCAGAGACAGACAGTTAACACGTGTGGTTAAATTCAGAGATTTCTGCCTGGCTTTGACCATAGATTTGCATCCCATGGTCACACCGTTGTGATTGGCACATTACATCATACAGAGCTGGGTGGGAGTAACAGGTGGTCACATGGCCTGACCCTTTCAACTTTTCTGGCTCACACAGAATTTATTTTCCATTTTTTAGAGAGAAAGCAGGGAAGAGAGAGGAGTGTCATACTGACGTTTCTAGCAGATTTTTAACTGCAAGTGATGCTAGTTCATACCTTTCTCGTGTGGGTTTTCATGCTCACAAATCCTTTGCTTTGCCTTCTGCTCAGAGTCAGGTGGGCCCTTTATTGAACAGATTTATGTGCTACAAGGCTATGCAGAAGGATGGAAAGAAGGAACATGGGAAGAAAAAATCAATGAAAGGCCATGCATTGATCAGCTGATGTATTCCAAGGACAAACATGAGTACTACAGGTAATGTCTAGCAGTCCTTTTGATCTTCTTTTCAGTGGTATTCAGTGAGACAGTTGCCTGCTTTTAACAGAATAGACTGGTGTGGTTGTTGCAATGTTATCTGTGAATCCCTGAATGCTCGGGGTTCACGTTTTTAAAAAAAAAACATAAATAATAAGATGTATTGATATGAGAAAATCTAACTTTAGAAAATTGTTGTTCCACACAAAAACGGTGAAAAGGAGGTGGCTGGTTTGCTGGCATTATATATTGTCTTTATAGGATGTACTGTTTATTTTTTTTTGTTATGTATATGACGTTAATTTAAAATACACGCCTGCGAACCAATCCTTGGTGTTCCCTTTTAGGGGCTGGTTCTGGGGTTACGAGGAAACACGAGGCCTAACCGTCTCTTGTTTGTCTGTCCAAGGATCTGCTTCCATTGTGGCGCCCATCCTTCTGAAGAACACTTCAGCGCAGTGAGTTGCCTTGTCTTACTATTTATTGTTGTCTTGTGTGCCCACAAACCTATTGCCAGGTGTGAAGAGCAGGGGGAACTTAAAGGCTGTGTCCCACTGTTGTGCTACTTCATCGCTGAGTTGCTGTAAACCATTGAAATCATTACAGAAGGGATTTACACTGTCAGAAATGCTTAACTGTGAATTTGGTGAAGTGCTACAGCGCTCAAATGTAAGAGGAAATAGCCTTTAGCGCCTTTAAATTCTCTCTCAGGTAGCTAAATGTCCTTGCCATCCTGTGTTTGCCTTTCCTTCCTTTACTCTTTACCTGGTGCTGGGTCAAGAGGGAATAAACAGAGTGGAATCGGTGTTTCTCAGGCCGGGATCTCGGATGGTGAGGTGCAGTGCCTGGTCTCCCGTGGCATCCATCCTCAGTGCTGTGAGCTGGGTTTAGAGAAGGCAAGCAGCAAGTTTCGTCTTTCTGATGAGAGCAGTGGGGATCTGTAGTACCTCCCACGGGGAGCAGAGGAAGCAAAGTGCTGTTTTTTAACAGGAATGTTCTTCTGTTGTAGGAGTTCCACCTTAATCCTGGCCAGTGGCAGCACGGTTCCCTTCTCCCTCCAGTGGGCTGTGGGTCACAATTTGCCTTCTAGAGAACAGATTGGCAGCCTGTCCCTCATTCCCTGTGCTCCCTTTGCAAACAGATCATAGCCTGTGCTTTATCCTAGCAAATGTATAAACACATGGTATAATGTAAATTCTATTCCTAAGGGAACTGCACGCAGTTTTACCATTTTTAATAGGTCAGTGATGTTAGACAGAGCTGAAAACCTTCTTCATGACCACTACGGAGGGAAAGATTACTGGAATGTGAGTATTTTTCAGTTAGCTTCTCTGGACTTTTTACTTGCCTCTGCTAAATATTCAGTAACCTCTGTGGGCTTGAGTTTTGCCTCAGGTTTCTTTTCTTGGAAGTAACTTGTGTCTTATGTTTCAGCAAGGTGTGCTAGAGATGGTTCTCAAACTGCTGTGGATTAATGTAACACAGGAATTTGTCCTCTTTTGTCCCTAAAGACCCAGTGCTGCAGGGCATGATGTTTAGAAGGCCCTCCCCTGTACAACACATCTACAATCAGAGGGGAGCAGTTCTTGTTTAGTCAACCTCAAGGTTAGACTTTTCAAAAGAATTCCCAGAAGTGCTCAGTATTGTCCCAGCTCTCTCCCCATCATCTTCAATGGCAAAATTCCCATGGGTTTCAAGGTCACCTCCCAAGGGTGTATGGCAAAGTAATTCCTATGCTAAAAGTTTTAAGAGAAAGTTAAGGCTTAGCCACAGGAAAATTATGTGAAGTGCTTGATATAATTAAAACTGCTAAGAGAAAATGACTCTTATGATACTACAAAACAAGTTACACAGACCTCAGTCTTGTAAGATGTGAGCATCTGGCTATTCACTTGGGATATAGCATATTTTTCAGAAATGGACCAAACAGTAGTTTTCTAACCTTGTACTTTTCATTGAGAGTGACTTTCCAAACAGAGAAATGCAGCCCACGGATCATTTTTGAGTCTGACTTGTAGTCCTGTAAAAGCAGACCTGAAATCCACATGGATCCATAACACACATTCTTAGCAGTGGCACTTTAAATGTTGCCTCAGTGGGTTTGCCTGATGTCCAAACACAAAGTCACTCACTGCAGCTTGGGCCCAGGGCCTCTTCTCTTTCCATAGCCCTCTGAGAAGCATCTCTCCCTTCTCTGTTTCTTTGCAGACAAAAAGAGAGAAATATGGAAAGAGTGGCAGTGTCAGACATGTAGATTTGAAACATATTCTTCTAAGAGAAGGGGAACCAGGTACAGAGAGCACACACTTCCTGAAGTGTATCAGTGGAGCTCACACATTCACCTGTTTTTCTCTTTTACACATGCTGTTGCAAAATAAGTGTCCACACAGACCAGCTGCTGTCAGGAGAGTGGTTTGTGCCTGGGAGAGGCTCGGCACAGCAATACTGCCTGGGTGCCAAATGTGGCGTGGCAGTCACACAGTCCAACAGGATGAAGCTCAGACATGTTTGACATGAGCATAGCATTTCTCATTTTTAGCTCTCCCTTTTTCTGACTTGGCCTCTGCTCTTATTCCCCCAGACCCGTCGGAGCATGGTGTTTGCTAAACACCTCCGTGTGGTGGGAGACGAGTTTAGAAGGAAGTATCTTCAATCCACGGATGAGGCAGACAGGACTCATTACAAGGAGGACTGGACACAGATGAAGGTAAAATCATGACAGTCTGTTTCCCATAAGAAATGTAATTTTTACTTCATTTTTGTGCTCCTGGCTGTGTGCTGCAGGGCGTGTTGGAAGACACAGGTGAGTCTAACTCTCCTGCTCACACCAGGGCAGACAGGCACGTTCCTTGTGCACCTTCTCCCCGTGTGCCATGAGTTAACGGAGTCTGTTGAGGGGTGCCTGGTTCTGGGTGTCAGATCTTTGCCGCCCTCATTTCGGTAAAGGAAACTTGAATTGCTTCTTGCATTCAGCGTCATGAGCGGGTGGGAAGTTCAGCTGCAAACTGCCTGCTGAGGATTTACTTGGTCAAGGAGAGCAGTTTTTGCTTACAAAGACTTCGTGCTCTAGTTTCTCTTGTGTGGTGCAGGCCATCCGGAGATCAAAACGTTGCAACGAGTGTCCCGAACTACTCCCAGTCCTTATTTTGAAATTTCTTTCTGCAACTAGAGTGATTCAGTGCCTTATCCAGAGATGATGCATTCTGGCCTTTTTGGTGTGAATGTATAGTGGCGCTCTCAAGTTTTAAAGTTTAGTGGTCTTTCTCTCGTAGGTTAAGACGGGCACAGCTCTAGGTGGTCCATACCTCGGGGTTCATCTCAGAAGGAAAGACTTCATTTGGGGTCACAGAGAAGATGTGCCTTCCCTGCAAGGAGCAGTAAAGAAAATCCGCAGCCTCTTGGAGATGCTTAAACTTGAAAAAGTTTTTGTAGCCACTGATGCTGTCGAGGAGGGTAGGTAGATCCCACTCACTTCAGGATTGGTAACTTTGGACAACGAGTGCTGCCATTACCACTTCACTTTTATAAATGACTGGGATCAATGCCTCCATCACCGAATGGGAATTGAGCAGGTCTGGGCAGCTGTATCCTTCCAGCTTGAGTAGTTGGTATCAAACCATTCATTTAGTATTTCCCATGGAAGGTTTGACAGTCTCTACAGTGGGGAACTGTGAGTTGAATTTGCCTATTCCTTCTCCTCTTTCTTCCATCCCACATTTTCTCTGGTAGGAAGGGTCCTCTGAAGTCTCCCACCCAGCCTTCCCCTTGGCTGCCCCTGGCTGTGTGTGGCCAAGGCTTAGAAACCCACAATGGTGGGCTTTCCCCCACCAGTCCTTATCCCAGGGCTGCACTCCCATCCCAGTAGTATCAAGGGATCTGTTTCGATACATGATCTTAGAATAACTCTGCAAGGCATGGCACCTGCAGCCTTAAGTTTGCTGCCAAGAAAGGCCTCTCAGTACACCTGCCCTCTAGTGAGGCTAATGGGACTAATCTGTTCTTGCAGACTTCCCCGTGTCCTCAGAATTGGCCCCCTCAGCACTGTGTTCCTGTCCCACCGGTTCCCCTCCCCACCCACCATTCTGTGAATTACTGTGTTGTAAAACCTCTCGGTGGATTTTGGTGTCACTTGCTTTGTAACTCTTCACCCAGGGTTTTCTCAAACACGTCACGTGACAGCAGCAGGTTGTTCTTCATGTCAAGATAAAATCGTGTCTTTCCTTTTCTCAGAGATTGAATTGCTCAAGAAACTGCTGCCTGAGATGGTGAGGTTTGAACCCTCTTGGGAAGAGCTGGAACTCTATAAGGATGGGGGCTTGGCCGTGATTGACCAGTGGATTTGTGCACATGCAAGGTAGTGAACCTGACTTTTTATTTGAGGAGCCAAATCTTAATGTCACTGTCACAAAACTGAATATGATTTTTGGCCCAGCTGTAGTTCTTTACAAATCATATAAGATATATAATTGCGATGTATATAATAGATGTATAATAGTTACATTGTGTATAGAGATGATGATCATTTCATTATTGTATCATTTCAATGAACAGTAAAGTTGGTCCCCCTCACAAACCCTTTCTGATCTTTTTCACAGGTATTTTATAGGCACCTCAGTTTCAACATTTTCCTTCCGAATCCATGAGGAAAGAGAGATCTTGGGATTTGACCCAAAAACAACTTACAACCGATTTTGTGGTGAAACAGAGAAAAACTGTGAGCAGCCAACTCACTGGAAAATTGTCTATTAAATACAGAGAAATACAAGGGCTTCAGTAATCATAGAATCATAGAATCAGCTGGGTTGGAATGGACTTCCGAGATCATCAAGTCCAACCCTTGATCCAACCCTGCTGCGGTTACTAGGCCATGGCACCAAGTGCCACATCCAGTCTCTTTTTAAAAATCTCCAGGGACGGAGAATCCACCACTTCCCTGGGCAGCCCATTCCAATGTCTGACCACCCTCTCTGTAAAGAAATTCTTTCTAATATCTAACCTAAACTTCCCCTGGCACAACTTGAGACCATGCCCTCTTGTCTTGCTGATGGTTGCCTGGGAAAAGAGACCAACCCCCACCTGGCTACCACCTCCTTTCAGGGAGCTGTAGAGAGTGAGGAGGTCTCCCCTGAGCCTCCTCTTCTCCAGGCTGAACAACCCCAGCTCCCTCAGCCTCTCCTCACAGCACTTGTGCTTCAGTCCCTTCACCAGCCTCGTTGCCCTCCTCTGGACCTGCTCCAGCACCTCAATGTCCTTCCTGAACTGAGGGGCCCAGAACTGGACACAGCACTCCAGGGGTGTGTCTAACTCTCCTGCATCCGTGCACGGAGCAGAGCCCTCCACAGCCAGGGCAGGATTGCAGCTCCCTGCCCAGGCTCCGTGCTCCTCCCGCCAGCCCCTGCTGACACCGCGCTGCCCTCACTCACTCTCGATGATGTCCTGCAGATCTTCAGGCTGTCCCCTCAGGTACCTCCCGGCCATCCCTGGGAACACAGACCCTGTCAGGGCCCCAGCGGCACAGCTCCCCCCCGGCGGCGCTGCCGGCCCGGCCACGCACCCTCCTGCCCTGGCAGGGCTGAGCCCGGGGCCTTCCCGCCTCGGGACTCCCCAGGGCTGGGCTGGCACAGGGCGGCAGCCACCAGGGCACTCGGGGCTCCCCAGCACATCCCCGGGCCGCATCCTGCTGCCGCTGCAGCAGCCGGGGCTGGGGCCGAGCTGCAGCGGGGCGGGGAGGGACCTTGTGGCTCACCTGTGAACCTGAGGGCCGCCTCTCGCAGGGGCTCCTGTGGGCTCTCCAGGTACGGCAGGGCCTGGTGCAGCTACTCGGCCACTCCACTCCGCTCTTTTTCCAGCTGCAGAGAGAGGCAGGGCAGGAGGGAAGGGTTGGCTGGGGCTCTGCCCCTTGGCCGGGAGCTGCCTGCGCCCAGCACTGGCCTCCCCTGCCCGCACGCCCCGGGCAAGGCAGCAGCGGGTGGGGCGCAGGCTGCTGTCCCGCAGGCGGCTGCAGCAGTGGGCAGGGGCACAGTGCCAGCCCTGCACTCTCTCAACAGGAAGAGCCAAATCAGCAGCAGTGCCAAGGAGGTCACACCTCGGAGTTCCCACTGTGGCAGGGGCATGGGTGAATTGCAGTGATTCTGGCCATTTGCAGAGTCTGGAACTGAAATTCAGAGCCCAACTTTTTTATGAGGCTGTGGTAGAGATTAGATAGAGGACAGAGAAAAAAAAAGTCGATTCAAACACACTACTGTATCTGCAGGTTGGTGCTTCTGATAACACACCAGACTTGGCTCTTCCATAACCTTTCCATACAACTCACAGAGGGATTTGCCACAAGGCACTGATTTGCTAAGTCAAGTAAACTGAGTAAACACAGCTTCACCTTCAGGGGAATAGCTCCTCCACCTGCTCTTCCCGCCCCAGCCATCACCACCCTCCCTTTGTAACTGCCCTCCATCGAGTACCTACCGCTGAGTTTGATGCAGCAGATCCCTGAGTGGAGATGGCCGCAGCAGGAGGGGATGTCACCGGGCTGGAAAAAACCCAGCGCCAGCAGGCTGTGGGGAAACATGCCTTGGCCAGGAGCTGCTTTTGGGTCTGGTGCCTCTTGACATGGTGCCACTTATCCGGTGTCATCCAAGTTCTGGCTGAGCTGGGGAGCATGCAGTTAGTGACAGTAGCACAGAACCAGAGAATCAATTACGCTGAAAAAGACCTCTGAGATCATCGAGTCCAACCAAAACCCATCAAGCCACCACCTCAGAGATCACTTTCACGCTGATGGAGTTTTCTTTTGTACGTGCCTGGTCTTTGCTTTCCCTGTTGTTCCTAGGAAAGGTCAAAGAGCTTAACAATGGGTCTTTCCAAAAAGGGTGCATCACCTATGCAGGGGATCTCCCATCTTGCTCCTGTTCCTGATCTGATAAGCCAGGTGATGGAGAGAACAAAAACCTGCCTGAGGGCTAAGATCCATGTCAGTCCCACAAGCATCTGGCTGTGGAGCAGAACTGACCTGGATCTAACTCCTTTTTAAGATGGATTTCCTCCATGCAGGGTCAGATGAACAGCTGGCTTTGTTGGTGCATTAAAAGGTACATGGCAAGAGCACTGTCCCAGTGGCCTGTGAGTTATGCACCTGCTTCCAGAGGGCTGGATCCAGACTGGCCACATGTCAGTGGCTCCCTGCCCTTCCTCAGCCTTTGCTGCAGTCCTCGATCTGAGCTGAGCTGACATTTCTGTGCCTGGCCAACTGAGCAGAGAGCCAGATTCTCCAGAGCTGACCCTTGAGCAGGATGCAAGGGCAGCCCACTTAGGACCAGACTTTCCTGCTTTACTGGGACAGGTGCTGATTAGAGGTGAGCATCAGGTGGTTGGTTTTCTGCCATCCCCAGCCGTGGGGAGTTGGGTTCCCACCCCGGGCAGCGGTAGTGCTGGCACCTCACGGGGCTCACCCAGTTCTCACCACAGCAGGGCTCAAGGCTACCACCACCACATGCATGATTCAAACCCAGTGCCAGACACAGGCTGGGATGGAAATGCTGGTGACCACCTACAAGTCTGCAGAAGTCAGGGACACACCCACTTGGGATTTGAGTGCAAAACAGCATTTTTGACATGCAGCAGCAGTGGCACGGCCCTTCCCACACCGTGACACAGGCCACGTGTCTACAGTGGAGTGTCAGACCTGTCACATACTTTCTTGCCTTCCCCTCTCCCATGCTCTAGCCAGCTCTTCAGGATGTAACCAAAACCACCATTTTAAGGACATGCACAGTATCTCTGATGTTTCACTTATTGTTTTGCTGCCACCAGCAATATTGATATAAAAAAAAATAATGATGAAACTTAGCAATGATATAGCTCTTTATATTTTTGAAATCTCTGTACAAACATTACTTAAACAAAGCAAGGTAGTATGCAAAACAGTCATTGCTTAGAATAATCAACCAATGGGTTGTGCTTCAGTGGTGACACTGGGAGAGGAACAAGAGTGCTGGAAGAGAAGCAACAAACCAGAGGTATAACAAGGTCTCGTCTTCGAAGTTGGGGTTATGAATGGAGAAAGTAAGTGTCAAGGACAGTGTCTGAGAGTGTTCTTTAATATCCTTACACCAGGTAGGTAAAACCAATGTATTTGCACTATCACACAGGAAGATGGGGGAAGAATAACTGCTTAATGCAAATAATATACAGCAATATATATATATATGTCTGTATAAGTACATAGTCACACACACACACCCCTTTGATCCTAAATTTGCTAAGGATGCCTCAGTCAAACTACAACAGAAATTATACTGGTATGATAACGACGACAATATTAAAAATGTGAAAACAGTGCAGTGACATCGACTGTGGATCTTTCCCTCCAGAGAACAGATATTCCTTAAACTGTTCCATCTGCCGAGGCTGGCTGCAAACACGGCTCTCAGTTCCTCTTTCCTGGAATGACTGAAGAAAACAACAACACAACTACCCACAGGACTCATTCCTGCCTACGCAAATGCTGCCGGTGCAATGCCTGTTCAATCACAGGCGACAGGACAGCCCTTTGGCTGTGAAGGCTCTAAAGAACACCATGCACTGACATGACCCAACAAGGAACTCGTGTCCTATCTGCTCCCCACAGCTCTGCCAGGTCCAGGATTCCAGCCCCAGCTCGGTTCCTGCAGCCCCCCTTGGTTTGCATCGTTCCCAGCTCAACAGAAGTGATGGAAGCAGCAGTTTTACTGGAAGCACCATACTGGCTCAGGCACACAACGCCAGTGGATGTACTAAGGAAGGGCAGCAAGCCAAGTGGGTAATTCCTTTGGTCCATGCTCCCTATGTCTCCTGCACAAGGGCCTCTCCAGCAAATTTCCCATCCTGTGCCATCATTTTTACATTAGAAACTAGAGAAAGCAGCGATTTAAATTTCTCTCTCCTCCTCCTCCTGCTTCCATCAGATGCTGACTCAGCAATGGCTGAGCACATCCATCCCACTGAGCCACCAGTAGGACAGGGACCAAGCCCAGGAAACTGTCCCCTTCCAGCCCTGTGGCACAGAGTTCAGTGTCCCTTCCAAAATCTTCCTTGTGTCCTTACCAAAACCTGTGCCTCTGTTAGCTCTAGGTAACCCCAGGATCAACATTACCTCCTTTCCCCACAGGAATCTTTTAAGCGCAACTGAAAACATTTCCTAGTAGAAAAAAAATAAATAAATAAACAAATAGATAAAGAAACCCAACAAAAACCACACGGTGATTCTGAGACAGGATAATTGTATTTTATACATTTTATTTCTGCGGGTTTTTAGGTTTTAAGCGACATGAGACATTTTTGTTCTGACTGTATCCCTGAATTGCAATTCTTCTTCCTTTCCAGTAAACTTTGGGATAATTTTCACAGCGGACAGCTTTATAATGATAAAAACGCAAAGAATGCAAAGTGTAGCTTCTCTGCAAGCACGAGCCTTCCAAACATAAATTTAAGGAATGGCAATAATCAACTATTTTGAAAACCATGGATATTTAAAAAAACCCAAATTTTAATTATGTGGTGACTGTGACTAAGTCAATTCTTAGACCTGATTCTCAATTCCTGGCTGGTTATTTTTTTAAACACAGCTTGGTTTCCAAAGGCAGCACTTCTCCATGACACAGGCTCTGCCTCATGCTACCAAACACTCTGAACCAACAGTTTTAACTCATGCATATTTGCACTGAGAGCAGGGTGAGTTTGGGGTTTTCCCTGGGGTAGACAGCACTCTTGGACATCACAGAATCATGGAATGGTTTGGGTTGAAAGGGACCTTCAAGACCATCTTGTTCCACCCCCCTGCCATGGGCAGGGACACCTTCCACTAGCCCAGGTTG